TTTTTTTTTTTTTTTTTTTTTTTTTTTTTGTCAATCTAGAATCTATTTTGATGTTTTTTTTCATCAGAAATTTCGACCTGTAACGGATTGCATTAATTTTTTGGTTGCAGCATTTCAACTTCAGTAGAACAGTTATCTGTTTGAAATAAATAATTTTAAAAAGAATGATTTTTGAAATTTTTTTAATTAGATATAGTTTCAGAAACACTTTTTTCCGCACTAAGTTAACATTAATTAAGCTTAATTAAATGAGTAGCACTTGCAAAAATAATAATCAGCTAGAATTTTTCTGTTATATTTAGAATGAAGATCGGGATGACAGCGAACAAGTATGTAAATTTTTTAATTATAGCATCTGTTGTGCTTGTGATTATGTTGTTGAGCATCTTACATTGAATGGAAGTTAGATTTACACCGATAGATGCCATAGCAAATGCATGATAGCAATGAAAATTAATTTTATTTTTATTTTTTTTGTTTGTACAATTTAATGATAATAACTTGACATTCACTTGTGTTATATTTGACGATTAATCTACCACATTTAAATTGCCAACATCTCCACTGCATTACCTGCACAGTTCTGTAGTATTTGGCTAGCAGCACCTGGAACTGTAGTTTTGCCAAAACTAATCAGGTTGTATATATCGGAAACTGATGAACGCTAGACCGGATAATTACATCTGCAGATTTTGTAAACTGCTGCTTGCGTTTGTGTTGGTGTCGTTTGTCTGCAGACTAAGTGCTGGTGGTTGTCATGGTTGTCACTGTAGAGAGCTCAACAGATTTGCAGCAGTATATTTTGTAGTTTTTAACTTTTAAAATTAATTTAAGGAAGATTCAGAAAGCCCTGAGTCAGAAATTCAAACTTCTTCACGTGAAGCAGATGCAGAACTTCCAAATGATGCAGGCGAAACAGAAACGGTAGGTAAAAATGTGTAAAAGAAAAAGTTCTGGAGACAGTAAACCGTTTTGCTAATCGATTACAATGCATTGGAATCTGATTATGCCTGAACGAGCCAGGTTTGGTGAAATTATCGGTCAAAGCCCGAGGATAATATTAGTGAGCATCACAGGGGGGTATTTTTGCTGGTTTCAACAAAACCTTGAGTTTTAGGGTTTCTTAGTAGGGGTGTCAAGTGAAGCTGAAAATTTTTTGGCTTTATTTGATTGCGAAATAGGTGTCGGAATTGGTTGTATGATGGTAAACGACAACATATCTCGCTTGTTCATTGCAAAATTGAGACTGAACTTTATTTTTGCAGTTATCATCAAAGCATAATTCTTTAAACGTCGTAAGGCAGAAAAAAGAAGTTCTCTATAGCCTTTTATATTCTTTATTTTTAAAACTTTTTGCAATTGATACAATTTTTGTCGCCGAACTTCACTCTGTTATTGCTGAATTTTTTTACGCACTAGTTGATCATCTGTAATTTTTTGCTCTTAATCTTAATCTGTATCTCGTTTTGCTGATCGCCTTTTAACTTTAAGCCTTTTGGTTTTTTTTATTGTTATCTAGTAATGAGATGTAAGCGCCATAGCTCTACTAAATATCTAATCAATAGCTAGTGAAAAACTTAAATCACACTGCTTATTGGTTTTTACGGTAGGAACTGAGTTTACGTTTTTCAGCTTTTGAGACTGAGAAAATGCACAGAGATTGTAATTCAGATCTTTTTGATACTCACTTGGCTAACGAGCACTGTAGCTGAATTATTTTAGTTTTGTGACTGAGTGTCAGGTGGTTATTAGAAGACTCCAGAAAGCATGATATGCGATTTTTGTCAATGAAAAAAGATGCAAATCAATACTGTGAGCAAAAATTGGAGCTTATTAATTGACTTTTAGCAGTCCACAGCGATGGCAGATACAGTAGTAAAAAATTGAAAACAAGCTTAACACAGCTTTTAACAAGAATGATGATGTACACAGATATTATGGTACAGTGAATTTTTTTTATTCTTTTGGTCTACAGCATTTGATTAAGTTTCATCGTTGGTTCATTACCTACTTTGAGTTTGCGGTAATTAGTTGATGTACGTTTTCGTTTGGGAACATTTTAAAGTTTTTTTGGAGCATATAACAGTAAGAATTTCTATTTCTCTTGTCATACAATGTACTTAGCCAATTTCAGTACATGATTACTTTAAACTCTTTGTCGGATTATGAGTCAGAAAGTTATAAATATCTTCGTCAGATCTTTGCGCTTTGCGTAGTTACGGTGTTTCTTTCG